TATAAGCCATATCACAATATAGATTTTGTTTTGAATATCGTGCAGCCCTAGTCCACTTATAATGTTAGTAAATGTTTCTTAAAAGAACATTACTATGTGGCTGTCTTTTGGTACAAAAGAGCCAAACCCCAAGTCCCTATGATATTCTGGTATCTAAATATGGATTGGGTCCCTCATTCTTCATACATTTTCACTTTTTTTATTACCTAGGCGAGAAACATAGGTCTGATCACTTAGAAAAGTAACAGCTCACCATGATAGAAAGTATTTATTTGTATCCATAGCACAAAATGAATTATGTGCCCAAGTTTAATACTTGTTCACAGTAATACTTTCCTAGTATGTCTGCATATTACATCAAAATCTACAGACTGGCAACAAATGTTGCTGAGAATCTCTTTTGATGGTGTGTGTGATGGTGTTTTCTGACCTTGTATCCCACTGATCTGAGCCAGTGTCGTATTTGTATGTTGGTTGGAAATCAATCTCTCCCTCCGTGAAGCCCACAAACACAACCTCCTCATCCATCTGCCGTTTCAACTGAAACACAGGTACGTCCACGGTCATTCATATTGCCATCTAACTCAACACTATCCAGACAAACCGCAGTGTGTTCGGTCTTACCTGGTCGTGATTATACAAGCTCTCAAAATCCTTTTTAGCTATCAAGTCTTTCACATGATCAACTTCAAGGTCACTTATTCGGTAGTTTAGATCTCCCAGCCATAACACAACACTGGAAGTGAAGAGAGAATGATAAAAGATTTAAAACAGGGAGAATTAGACTTTTGTCTCTAATTAAACTGGCAGGCTGTTGTGTTTAGCTTGTACTTGTGTTTCATGATGGTGAGGGGTGGTAGTGTGAGGTCATCCGGACTGAACTGCATCCTGCGGCAAATGTCCTTAAAGTCCTGATTGCGTCTTTCAAACTCTTCTGTGTGCGCGGCGAGGTGGGAGTTCACCACACAGATGTCGGAGTTGTGAAACTGGAAGCGGATTGCTACTGCACCTTTATTACCCTAAACGAGAAAGGTTATTTCAATGCACCAGAAACATGGCATCTATTTTTTCCTTTCTATTAAGGATTACTTGTGTAATTCGCCGCTTTACAATTGTTAAATTTAGACTCCGTATACAAATATTCATTAGCCGATGTCCCGGGGCTATTGTGTTTTCCAGTCGGGCCACCAAAATGTTTCGCCACCCTGCCCGACGGGCTATCTTGAACAGT